GAATATAGGTATATTTTTTCGATATAGAATAATCCTTGGAGTGAGAGCATACAATTTCCGACTTTACTTTTTCCGCATGCATTTTTAGACCACCCTAATGTAAATATATAATTTGTCTATTAAAAATGCGTCGAACTGAATACTAAAAAGTGGTTCGGATTTCGGTTCGGATCAAACATTTGTGGAAAATTTCGGCTTGGTTAAAGGTTCAGATAATAGCGGTTAACGCGTACAAAATATGTGAGTAAAAGCTCCCAGAAGTAAGCGTTACTTCAGAGTTGACCGCTTCATAAGTAAGCTTTTTAAGCTTTCTGTACATGAATCAGCGTTGCCGTTTTGCTTATATTTAAGCAAAATTGATTAATTTTTTCCTGCCTGTTAAAATATTAAACTTTTCTTCGTTTTGCTAAATTTCTTAATACCTATATTCAAAAAGGTTAAGTTTCCTCAAAAATTCACTTCGGGCTATGAATCAATTTTCAATAAATTTTTGAATTTCGTTTTAGACTATAAAATCCTTATTTTTGAGCCTTAGATTGTCTTAACTTACTTACTTGCTTATTTTTTATTTCTATAACCAATTTACCAAGCATGGTAAGAAAAGCCCAAATTAATTAAATAAGTTGCTTAATTTTAACGAGATTTGGTAATTTTTTTTTTTAACGATTTTGGTAAATTTTATTTTTTGGTCGCGGCAACACTGTACATGATGTATGAATTTTGGAACGCACATCGTTTTGAGAACGAGAGCGTGCAGGGAAGATTTTGAAACGCAAAAACCGGTTTGTTTTTAAACCAAATTTGACAAGGGATGACGAAAATTCTTTCCAAAATATATCAACTTCTCTCCCTGTCAGAAGACCAAATCTACAGAAATTTTCAATACATTTTATATGATCAGGCATCAGAGTGAATACCCTTTCTAAATAGCTTTACTTACATTATTTTGTGGGTTCTTATGACGCAGTTCTTCGCTTAGCGCCTGAAAGTATGCAAATTATATTACATATTATTAAATTTATCCTTTAATAAGGAAAACCCATCTGTTCTACTTACTTCCATAAGACCGCGCACCGCAAATTTTGTGCCGCAGTATGGCACCAAATTGGGCAAGCCGAAGAAACCGGCGCACGATGACAAAGCGACAATGTGTCCCTCGTTGCGCGCTATCATATCGGGCAGGAATGCTTGGATGATCTGTAAGAAAAATATTGAAAAACGGAAAGAAAATGCACGGAGCTATGAACGGATATCTTAAGAAAACGGTCAAGAAAAAATTGTCATTATTTCGTGTGTGTGAATAACAGCCCTATTCCCATAACAATGACAAAATTCTTCGTATAACTATTGTCACAATTAATGCGCCAAAAATACAATATAGACATTGTTTCGCCATTGTCGCGTACTCAGTAGGTCATAACAATAACAATGACAATTGTCACCAGTATAGAGTTTAAAATAAATTTGCGGCATAGTATTAGGCGCAGTTGTAAAGACAACAGTCAGCCGCTGGCGTGGGAATAGGGCTGTAATAGTGTTCCTGGTTTTTTGACAACTGTTTTTTCACAGCCTGCTGCCTCACTCTTTCTTAGCGAAATAATGGAACGGACACACGGTAGGAACTGAGTACTGGTGGGTAAGTACTAGAACGGGGTACTTAAGGTCAATGAACTCTGATAAAAAAAAAAATATATCTCCTCAAGAAAATAACATTGATATGTCATACTTTAAGATCCGAAAGTAATCGCTGATGAAATAACGAAAAATGTAAAAAGCGACCCCTACGTTCGGCCAATTTTTTTTTTTTTTAATTTTTTCGGTAAAAATACTATAGACTCAGGGGTCTAAGATGATGCTACCATTATTATACTAAGATCCTGTAATTATTTACTCACCCAGAAGTGTGCTAATACATTGATCTCATACATAGTTCTAATCT